GGGTCCAGCCAGCTTCCTCCATTGAGAGCCCGGCCGGGGCCGGCCCCAGCACAGGGCCCCTCAGCCCGGCCTCTGGCCCAGGGTCCTGAGCAGGAAGTAAAGGCCAGCGCTGACCTGCACCCGGCTCTGGCCAGCAGCCTCTGCACCTCCTGGGCCCCCTCACCCCATCCTCAGCGGAGAAGAGCCTGCCCCTGCCTGGCAGGGGAGGAGGCGGCTGGGGGCCCAGGGTATTGGGGTGAGAGCAGCCTCGGTCCTCTCCCTCGGTGAGAGCCAGCGTGGGGGAGATGGGATGACACCAAGCTCAGTGCTGACCCCCCGCGGCACTCAGCACTGCCCGTCACCCACACCCCAGCAGGGGTGCCAGGGCCCCAGGGGGGACAGAGGGGTGCTGCCCACTGTGGGTGGCGGGACCCAAGCAGGTTTCAGGCGCAGGCACCCAGCGGAGTGGGAGACAATGGGCCCCGCCCGTGGGGAGGGCACTCGAGGGGCCCTTTACCCAGGGGGCAGTGGGGCAGGCTCAACAGCAGATCCCTGAAGAGGGCAGCAGCCGTGTCCTGGGGTGTCCCGAGGGCCCCGCGGCTGAGGGAGGGTTGGGGTTGGGGGGCATTTCCAGGGGACAAGGAGCCTGCGGGCCACACCCCTCCCAGCTCACAGGGAGGCCTGGACCACAGTCGTCCTTCCTTCTCCAGCTAAACGTCCGGAACGTGTTCTCTGCCACCGACTTCCCAGTCCCCGCACCGTCCAGGGGCACCGTCCAGAGGCCGCGGCCCCAGTGCCCCCCCCCACCAATTGTCGCAGGTCTGATGGGGGACAGAGGGGGTCCTCCTGCAGACACTGCCCCGGACCAGAGGACGCCCTCGGCTCCAGGGAGTTACTTGCCGTTATTACTTGAAAAACAGCACTTTGTGTCCAGCCAGTGTGGCTCAGTGGTCGAGCGTCCACCTGTGAAGCAAGAAGTCCCTGGTTGGATTCAGGCCAGGGCAGATGCCCCGGATGCAGGTTCCACCCCCAGTAGGGGGCGTGCAGGAGGCAGCCAATGGATGATGTTTCTCTCTCATCGATGTTTCTATCTCTCCCTCTTCCTCTCTCTCTAAAAAGCAATAAAAACATTTTTTTAAAAGAAAGAAAAACTACTTTTTAAAGAAGAGGGTTCCATTCTCTGGTGACGGACGGTCAGGAGGGCTGGGCCTGTGTCCGGGCCGCTTCCCCGAGCAGCCCCTTCCTGGGAGGGGAGGACTAGTGGCCCCGACAGGCCTGGCGCCCCATCGCCCGCCGCACAGGGCTCTGGTCGCCGCGTCAAAGAAAAGGCCCGGCCTGCCTCTGGGCACCAGCGCCGGAGTGATTCTGAGAATAGGTTCTGGGACAACTTGTCATTTGATTTGCAGAACTGATCAAACAGGGCGGCTCACCCCTTCTCCTGAGGGCAGCGAGCTGTCCACAAGGATCCCTTCCTCCTTTGCCTGAATCCTGCTGCTGCCCGGGACCCCGGACTTTCCCAAACCCAAGGCCGACTCAGACTCAGCTCAGACGAGCCCTGAGCGCGTCCTGGTGGGGCTGGGGGCGCTGCGGCCATGTGCTCCCTAAGACCCTGGGCCAAGGGCTTCCAGGGACCCCGCAGACAAGACGTCAGGAGAGACTGGGGTGCTCCATGAAGCTGGGGGGCGCTGGGGGTCACCTTCCTCTGTTTGCCACCTGCCGACGCTGCCTGTGGGGTAGGTGGACATGGCAACAGGCCTATGACCCGAGGGTCATGCAGCTTTCAGAGGGGGCCTGGCCCAGAGAGACTGGCGGGGGAGAAGCTCCGGGTGGAAGGAGCAGGGTCTGGGGGGGTGGGGGCAGGACCTAGACTTCCCGGGGCGCCTGAGCCTCCGTGAGAAGGCCTGGCCTTCCCTTCCGTTTCCCAGCCTCCTGGTACAATTGAAAAAACCCCAACAAGCTAGAAACAGAAGCACACACAGAACTTGAAAGTGGCAAGAAACAGTGTCACACTAGCGATACGTGTTAAATGCTTCCCTTCGGCAAACTGTTTTCACACACACACCTCGCACGAGCAAGCGAAGTTCTGCACAGCAGGGCTCCTCCACACGCCATGGTCCTGCTAGTAGCAGGTCTGGGATCACGGCCAGCGCCCCCCCGCGGTGGGGACCCCACTCCCGCCGCCCCTTACCCCCG